CCAGAAAGGACTAGGAAGAGGGGCGACAACTCTCCCTCAGAAGGAGCCACCTTCCTACACTGGCCCAAATATAGGGAAGAGAAGACTAGGCAGTGTGGCTGGGGCTGCTTTTGCTTCTTGCTAGTGAGTATGACTACTGCTGCTAGTGCCACCATATTTTCAGAGCTCAGACTCTTGCTCCTTTGGCCTTCCAGAATTGAAATCCAGAGATCCTCCAAGAATCTTCCAGGCCTTGAGCACCAAATTAAGACAGAGGCACCCAGTTCCATAGATCGAATAACTACCGGGTTCTTAGCCTCTCCAGCATACAGACAGCCAGTTTGAACTACCCACCTGCTAACATGTCAGCTACCTGAATGAATCTTTTAAAATGTATGTTCATTTTGCTGGTTCTGTATACCAGGGCATCCTGTCTAACACAAGCAGTGCTCAGGGACCAATAGTAAAGACCTGTGAGAGTGTGTTTCTTAGTGCTTTTAGAATAGATTACTAAAAGTTGAATGTCTATGCTAAAGGACACATGCATGTGATTTCCTGGATACTGCAGGATTCCTTCCCAGAAACTTTGTGTTAATGTACCCACGTTTACCAGCAATGTACCCATGTGCCTATTTTCCCACCAGCTGAACAGCAGAACTTCTAGAATTTGCTGAGAATTGCTTGAGCGCAGCTTTAATTTTGTGTGTATATACATTTGGAGGCACGAAGTTCATTTTGGTGGTCTCTGCTATCATTCCATGCCTTAAGTTCTGAGACAGGAATGCTCACTGATCCCAGGGTTCACCGACAGGCTAGGCTGGCTGGCTGGCTGGTTAGCTCCAGGGATCCTCCTATCTCTACCATGCCCCTTCTCCTTAGCCCCCGACTCCTCCCAGGGCTGGCGTTGCAGAAACAAGCTACTCTTCCTGGCTTTATGTGGTTGCTGCTCCAAACCCAGGTCCTAACGCCTGCAGAGCAAGCACGTTACCAACGGAGCCATCTTCCAGCCCTCATGAGTCCCAGTCTGAAGAGCACAGCTGTCACTGAACTTGTTTTTGTGTGACTGAAGCTGGAACCTCTTTTATCCTGCTTCATCTGATTTCTCTTCCTGTGAGGTCTCTTTTCAAATCTTTGGTCCATGATTTGCCTAGATTTTCAGAAACTGGTTTTGACTAACATTAGCTTCAAACATTTCCCCACTTGAGCATTTGTCTTTGCTTGTATCTTTCACCACGTAAATACTTTTCTTCAACGCATTGGGATTTATCCTGATTTCCTCGCCAGTGAGTCATGGTTATAAAAACCTTGGCTTAGGCTTTCATACTTCAGCCAGGTTGTACCACAGCTGTTTTGCTCAGGGTTGCTCTTGAGATGTCTTTTGCCAGCCTCTTTTCTTCCTGGAAACCCAAGGGAAACTTTCTACATCGTCCTGAAAGTTTCACTAAGCTCTAACTTGAAGCTCATCACTTTGGACCAACGTTCCTAGTACACAGGCTCTCTCTTTTAAAATGGGGTGGGGGAGGCATTGACTACAGAGTTGGTCGTGCTAGGCCACCACTGTGCCACTGACACCTCCACTGAAGGTCATTTTAGTATGAACACTTGAGACTTCTCTATTTAAAGAATGCTTCCACAGATAGAAGTTTACATATCAGCCCGACTATTACTCTTCTTCTTAGGAACTTCAATCTTTCATCTTACATCTTAATAACTCCTAGAGTCATGATGTGACTCTGAAGCAGAACACCCACCTAAAGTATAAGGCTCTGGGTTCAATCCTTAGCATAATACACATCTGTCTCCATCTCTTTGCTGTGTGTGCACACACATCTGTGTAACTTTTTATTCTCCTCTTCTTCTCCTCCTCCTCCTCCTCCTCCTCCTCCTCCTCCTTTTGGCTGTTTTCATGACTTCTGTTAGTGCCCCTAACTTAGTGTGATCTTTTCTCCCTTAGGTACCTTAGGGTTTAGCTTCATTTTAACAGATCTATTTTCTTAGTTCAGAAAATTCATCTTCACATCTTTTTTGTTTTTGCTCTTTTGGATGTACATGTCTGCAAATGTTTTTCATCCAGGCAAGAGTATTGCACTGTAGTTTTCTTTAGCTCTGCTACTGAATGTTCTAAGCAGTTTTATTGGCAGCTGAAATGTTTGGACTTCCCATTCGCTTTCTACTGAAGTAACTTGACATGAATGTTGTCTGCCATCTTCTGTTCATTTTTGAAATGATTTCTTTTTCCTAAACCAGATGACAGTACAGACAGACAGGAAGGAGGGATATGAATGGCTTACTGATTTCTTAGTCCAATGGTACTTCATTAACAGGTTGTGTGTTTGTTTTCTCTTGGTCACTTTCACCAGTGACCCCCTTCTGGGTGGGAGGCAGGCTTACCCACGGTCTACTCAGCTTCAACAGACCCTTGATTTCTTCCACCTCTTCTTGTTGACCACCATCTCACTACCTGGGGGCTCCATGCTCATTCCTTCAAGGCTCCCCCCTTTTCCTAGAATCAGTACATTTTTGAGACTGCCTCTTGGGCACACACGCTTTTGTCCAACAGGTCTCACATATCTCAGTATTTCCTTGGTCTTCTATCCTGCATGGCAATCATTTTTGCCCACAGAGCCAGCTTCCTGCCCCTTTATTTTTTCTTACATCTTTTGTAGTTTTCTGTATGACGGCTGCTCGTGTCCTTGAGTAAATAGATATTTTAAAAATTCTTCACTGAATTTAACTTATACAATCTCCTTCATCTAAATACTTTTCCGCCTACCTTCTGCCTTGTCTTACTCTTTTTAGGGGGTTGTGGGCACTGTTAGGAATTGAACTCGAACTTTACACCATGCTTGGGAAATGCTCTACCACTGAACCACATCTCAAGCCCCTCCCTTCATCTTGTACTAAGATGTGAAACATTTACATTTAATTAGTACACCCTAGCCCTCCCTATTCTATTATTAACAACTATTTAATTATCATTACTGTCCTCTACTATTTCATACTTATGCTGCACGTCCTTTATATAACAACTTGAAATTCCTTTTTTAAAAAAAAACCTGATGCACACCTAACACTCACATCTGGGACATCAACTACAGGGACTTCTCCCCAAATCCTGATGCACACCTAACACTCACATGGGACAGCAACTACATGGATTTCTCCCTGAATCAGGCTCTGTACGTCACTGGGTGTCCTAGGCTTCAGTTACAAGATTGCCCATTTAGCAGGTTAAGGACTGTCACTTACTTTCAACACCAGTTCCAGAACCTAGGTTGTTACCTATACTTCTGAGCAACCAGTTATGAATTAGAGGTTTGCAAAACACATCCACTAGGGGCCAGTAATCCGCTAGAACTTACCAAACTCAAGAAAGTGTCTTTGTATTGTAATGTGGCCCATGTAGGAAATAACATACGAAGGTAAAAAACAGTCCACTCCAAAAGTCCTGGCCTCAGGAAAAATAACCATAGCCCATAACCAAATCTACAGATCTGCCCCACCTCCCATCCTGGTTTTTGTCTCAACCTTTCTATAACTTATGGCACTGCTATGGGCGAGGAAAAGGCAAACTGAGAATGTCTATTTCACCAGATTTTGCCAAAACTACAAATGAATTCACATTCCCATAAACTTACATACATAAATGTCTTTTTTTTTTTTTTCCTTAATGTGGGGTTAGGGCAAGTCTTGAGATCTAGAGCCAAGTTTTACAGCAGAAAATTCCAGTAACGCTAGCATCAATATACTCTAAAGGCTCTGACTTAGGACACCCAAACAGGAAGGATCTCTAGAACAAAGGGTAAGGATGATGGGCAAAGCCTCCAGGCCCTGCCTAGACTCATCCCCATCCCAGCACTTCCATGTACTATCCAGGAACACCATCACTTAGGGGTTTTATGGGGGCTCAGCTCTTTTGGCATGAGTTGATTAAATAATTGCCACTAGGGACTAAATTCAAAGACTCTTTCACTAGGGAGGGGAGTGACTCCTGGAGATTCCAATTAGTCTGTGCATGTGCTAGTGCACTACAGTGCACACATAAGGCTAAAGGACAGCCTCAAGTGCTCTTCCTCGGGTACCACGCATCTTGTTTTTGAGACAGGGTCTCTCAATGGCTAGAGCTCAACAAGTAGGCTAGGCTGCTGGCAAGGGGGCTCCAGGAACCCACAATACCTGCCTCCATAGCAGTGGGATTACAAGTTTGAGTCACTAAATCCAGCTCTTTTACTTGGGTTCTGGGGACTGAATGCCTATCTTCATTCTTTCAAGGTAAGCACTATCCAGTTGATCTATCTCCCCAGCCCTGGAAGTTCTATATTTGATGACATAGTTGGTTCACCAGGCAATCGTCCCCAATCTTACAACCTTCTGTCTAGCTTACATTTGCTGGAAGGTGCCATGCAGGCTGCCGAGAGGGAAAAGTCATTAAGTATTACCCACTTGTGGAATCTATGAGCTATAACATTTGGCCTGGAAGGCGTGCCCATTGGTACAGTAGTGGCATAAATATTATAGGGTTAACCGACAACTTTCTGCTTGGACTTAAGACCCATTTCACAGCAGGAATGTTTGGTACTTTAAAACTAGGCAAGAACCCATGGCTCGGGAGGTCATATGTCCTACCACTATTATTTTGCTAAAGGAACATGTCATCAAACTGCCTTCTATATACTTATCCTTATATCCATACACCAGTGTAACTCTCACCCCTTATTATTTCTTTACACAGTAGATGGAAGTTAACACAAAGACTCACAACTGGTCAAGTTCAGAGAATAAGTTAACTGTGGAGTGCTCAGACCTAAATGGGACTTCTACACCACACCCCTTACCACCATCCCTCAAGACTCAGGGAACACTGTAGAAAAAGACTCAATAAGATTTTAACAGCCAGAGGTCTGGAGGCCTGCTATGAAATGGACATATCTTCTGAACATGACAAAGCCACTGCACTCATGACCTCATAGTAGCTGTGATTGTGGGCACAAGATATGCATAAGTTCAAGTCAATCAACACTCCAGCATGGAAAGGGGAGGAATGCATAAGGCTCCACCCCTAGCCAAGGTGCTATGGACAGTAGATAGCTTCTGGGAGAAGAAGAGTAGTCCTCTTCAGTGACATGGCCTAGGGCAAGTTGCCTATATGCCAGTGGATGGTAACGTATACCCCATACACCTATGGGCAGTACTAAAAGGACTGAGTGGGGAAAAGAGAATGGATGGGGATGAGTTGGAGGAGGTAGTGAGGATGGATATGATCTAACTCCATTACATTATATTTGTGTATGAAATTACCAAAGAACAAAACAATTTAAATTCATTTATGACTTTCTCTGACTATAAACTTCATGCAATTTCTTCAACAAAAGAACCTATCAATCAGAATAACTTGAATCCATGTTCCTAAGACATGGCTACTCATATTCAGATCAGGCACAGTACTTTCATTCCTCTAAAACAGACTTCCTGACAGTGGGTTATATTTTTCCTATCAGACTACATAACTCTAAAACCATTATTTCCATCTTTTCATACTGGAACTATCACGAAATATATGTAATGTTTACAACTTGATTTTATGTTGAACATTTTCCAAATCATTTACTGTTTGAAATTTGTTCTCTAGTATATCCCTTTAGGAAGCACTGAAATAATCCTGAAATCGTTTTGTGATTGAACTTTTTGGGAGACCACATTGGCCAGGAACTTACTATTTAACAGAGAATGACCTTGAACTCTGACCCCCCTACCTCAAGCTCCTTAGTGCTAAGATTATAGGTATGCCACCATAACTAGCAATGTCCTAAAATTCTTAAAGGACAGTGTGGTGATATGAATTACTGTATTTTCTTCAATAGTTTTAAAAACTGTTGCTTTATTATCTAGAATAAAATGTTGCTGCCCAAAGCACCAAATCCACATGATATTTTTTTTCCAAGTTACTTGGTTTTTTTTTTCCATGACTGAAAAAAGGTTCATTTTTAAAATCCAACCGTTTTACAAGACTACATCTCAGTGTTGTGTTAAGTGTTCTGGGCTGAGTTCCAGATTTTGGGGTGTCTTTATCCTTCTTTAGTGTTAAGTGTTCAGGAATTGTAGCTCTGACAGTTGTTGTAGTCCAATGCTTTGCTTTACAGATTTTATTATGACAAAATGAGCCCAAAGTTTACCATTTAAGCCACTTTCCAGCTTTCAATCTACCAACATTAAGTATACAATGTTATATAACCACCACTGAACTTCGGTTTACATGAGGGAAACGCTTCACTTGGCTGCCTGTCCTGTCCTGTTTTTTGTTTTCTTTTTTCTGTTGTTGTTGTTGTTGTTTGTTTGTCTGTTTTGTTTTTGTTTTTTAGTATAGTCTCTGACTTGCTTGGCACTCACAGAGAGATCCACCTGCCTCTGCCTCCCAGACTCTGGGATTAAAGGTGTGTACTAACCATGCCAGCTTTAGTCTTTTTTAGTTTTAAAAAAGATACTGAGTTCCTATTTCTCCTTTTTCTCTTATTGTACCGTCTGTGGTGCATATTTACCATTTTCTAATTTGTCACTAAAAAGGCCTTTTCTCAAACATTCCCTGAGTTCTATCAGCCCTCACTTGTTATCCTTGTATGGTGTAGCTATACTACTTCTGAGATGGCGTTCTTTCTGATTTAATGTGTTTCTTTAAAGGATTTCATCTTATACTAGACACACTGGCTCACACCTATAATCCTAGCGTTATGTGGATAGAGTCAGGAGGACCAAATCCAGCCAGCCTCAGCTACAAAACACACAAATCAAAGAACAACAGAAGGATTTCACCTTCACTACAATTTCTCTAAGCTGAAATACTTAAGATTATCAATTTTATCTGCTTTGTGGCCTCATTTCTATGGTATCTTTTCATAATATATGATCTAATGTATGAATTTTTATTTTTCTTATGATAATCTGTTATATATTTACATATTTTCCTGGATTAAAACAGGGCTCCTGTGTTAGTTTTATAGATGAGTTGGAGCTTTTGAAACTGCATTACCTAACTGACCCCTGAGTTGTTTTCAGTTTTGGTGGTGGTGACAAACAAAACTGCTGTAAGTATCTGCAGAGAAACAAATACAGGTTTTCATTTCTTGAGAGAAGAACATCATCATCCTAAGAGAAATGCAGATTAAGCCCACTGTAAGATCTCTCTCTCTCTCTCTCTCTCTCTCTCTCTCTCTCTCTCTCTCTCTCTCTCCTGTAACAGCAGAAATAAAAACAAACAAACAGGGGGTGGGGATTTAGCTCAGTAGTAGAGGGCTTGCCTAGCAAGTGCAAGGCCCTGGGTTCGGTCCTCAGCTCTGAAAAAACAAACAAACAAACAAACAAACAAACAATGACAGTTCCAAATGCTGGCTGCAGCTTTCTATGCACAGATGCATTTCACCCAGGACCTGATGGCTGTAGTAGTGTGCAGATGCATTTCACCCAGGA